AGTGCTGGTGTTGAAGCCCACTTTGCTGTTAGCTCGACATCCTTTTCCATTCTTTTTTGTTCACGAATCAACCTCTACTCTTTTTTGAGAGCCAATGCTTCAGCTTTATTTTTTTCATCGATGCAATGCGTTCTTCAACTTTCTTCTCTGCATCTGCATTCTTCTTTTTCTCGGCTTTTAACCGCTTCTTAAACTGCGTCGGCAGCTTATAGGATAGCTTCAGTTCGTAGATCTTTCGACACTCACTTCCGTTGCAGGAGCCGAGTGCACAACTTTAGCTAATTGGTATAATTACGGAAAATGGAATTTTTTCCCTTCCCAGACTGCATTATTTGTATAAAGTAAAACTCAAAATTAATCATGAAATTACGAGAGAATGAATACAAATTAAATTTTATAAATCATGGTGAAAGTGTAAAGATAAACCTTAAAAATAAAAAAGACATCTGTAAACTCCTCGCTTTCTCAAAGTTACTGTAAGTAAATGATTTTTTCGTTTAAAAAAAGCAAAGTAATCATTGATAATAATAAATTAATTCAAATTCAAATTCTTGTCTTAAATTCCAAGCAAACAAATAATATATTGTATTGCATACTTATGCGCGCTATCTACAATTGGCATGGTTTGTGTCCAAGCTGAACTTTTAAACGATAGCGACCACGATCGGCAGTCACCAATCACCACCGTTTGTCGTTTTGGTGAAAAGCCGGCACGCTTGAGTGAAAACTCAAATCGTCGAACATCGATGAGTGAAATGGCCAGAAAGCGTCAAAGTCGCTCCATAAATTTGAAGATGCGCTGGCAAGGCATTAACTGCACGTAACGCGAATAAATTCAGCGCTAACCAAGCAACAACATTAAAGAAGTAACTTATAAATCAGCTAACGACGCCAGCAACGAAAAAGAAGCGACCTCATGCAAGGAACACCTACCTCTCCTCCCCCACCCTCAATACTCGAGATGGGGTTTGCTTGGGGAGGCCTTGTTGCCCGCATTTTACTCTTAAATGAGGCGCCAGTCGCTATTTAAGAGCGTTGCGAAGAGAGAACCACCCACAACTCTCGCCCCATCCCCATCCCCATCTCCATACCCATCCCCATGCTCATGCCCATTCCCGTTCCTATTCCCATCACCACACCAACACACAAGCCTTCCCACCCAACCCCAACGCCTGTTGACGCTGCAAAAAAGTTAAGAAAAGCGGGCAGCAAGAAAAAAGCAGAGCGACAACGACGACGACGGCTGCCGAAAAGAAAAATATTCAGCAGTGCGCCAGAAAAAAGAAGAATGGAAAGTGGGAAAACTGAACTGAACTGAACTCAACTCAACTCAACTGAAGTGAACGCACAAAATGGAGCAAAATAAACAGTAGCGCAGCAACAGCAACAGCAACAACAACAACTACACAAACAAAAAATTGAAAAGGAAAATGCAAAAAATGGCAAAGAAAATGAGACAAACAGAAAGGCAAGGAAGGCGCTCGCACGTGTATTGGCGGCGTGCAGTCGACGCAGCCGTCGCCGTTGGCAGCGCTGGCGACGCAAGCAGCATAAGTTTGCTAGTGTCTGTGTGTTTGAGTGTGTGTTTGTTTGTGTGTGTGGACTCATGTGGGTAGGCAAAACTTTCGCTTTCGTTATGGCATCGTCGTCCTCATGCCCGTCCCCGTCCCCGTCCCTGTCCCTGTCCCTGTCCCTGTCCCCGTCCCCATCCGCGTCCGCGTCCTTGTCATCATCATCGTCGTTTTTCCTGCCTCAGCGCTGAGCTCCTTCAGCACCAATGCTGGCGTCCAAGTCAACGTCGAGCTTTTCTTTTTCCACGCCGCTCGAACAATGAGCGCAGCAGCAGGCAACTAGAAAAAAAGGAACGCTAGTGAAATTGTTGGCTACAAATAAATTTCCACGCCAAGCCGCGCACAGCAAGAAAAATGTGAGCATTTCAAGGCTGTGGCTGTGTCTGTGGCTGGGGCTGGGCCTGAGGATGCTGCTGCTGCTGCTGCTGCGACAACAAATGTAAGACCAAAAGGTAGGCAGCGATCAAGTGGGCGACCCGCGATGACCTTGAACAGAATCTTCCAACAATTGAAGCATATGTCAGTTGCAGTCACGTCCAGCTGGAAAGGACATGCAGGAGTGAGGCAGGCAGCAAACTAGTCCGTCTAACTCGAATGCCACCCACAAACGCCAACCACCTGTAGTCTGCTTGACCGACCGACCCATCGACAACAACACCACACATGGCCGAGCATACATATGCATGCTGTGTGTGTGCGTGCGTGTGTGTGTGTGTGTGTTTGTGTGTGTCTGCCTGCCTGCCAGCCACCACCCACCACCCACTCACTGGTGACCTTTGCCGTTGCCGTCGCCGTCGTCGTCTTTGTTTTTTTGTTGTCGCTGTCGCTGTCGTGGCGTTGCCTTACAAAAGGATTTTCTTACGTTTTGTTTTCTTTATTTTCATTTTGTTTTTTGTTTTTTTCTCATTTATTTCCCATCTTCTTTTGGAGCCTTGCTTTCTCTTTTCAGCTTCGTCTTCTGCGTGTCACTCGGCAGTTGCTTTCTGCTCTTAAAACTTTCCTCAACAGGTTGCAAGTTTGCGCCATTTGGCCCGCTGTGCGTGTGATGCGAGAGCCAGAGCCCTAGCCCTAGCCCCAGCCCCAGCCCCAGCCCGAGCCAGAACCCCATTCCCACGCAGCCTTCACTGCCTCTAGTGTGGGCTGCAATTGACTTTAAGAAAAACTTTAATGTCCAGGCAAGACGTTGGCAAAAAAAAAAACGCACACCCGTTGCCGGGGGCACTGAATGACCTTGAGCGCGGGCTTAGATGCTGCCATGACAGCAGCCGGCCGGCCAGTCGGGCGACCCTGCAATCGAACGTTTTAGTCGAGTGTTATCCCGGCTGTTAGGCCGCCTAGGCAGTCAGCCAGTCAAGCAGCACGGCAGCCGGCTAGTCAGCTTCCAGGACCGCCTTGTCCCATAATCCTCACAGCCAGACGCATATGTGTGTGTGTGTGTGTGCGTGTGTGTGTTGTGTGAGCTTGTGCGGTTGTGTAAATGTGTGGGTGTGTGCGCTGTCAAGGCGACCCACATTTCGTGTCAAACATGATCCTTGCCGGTTGACTGCTCGCCAGACATCCACGCAGCTCTGGCTTGGGCTCTAGCTCGGGCTTGGGGTCGGTCTCGGTCTCGGTCTCGACCCATAAGTGTGACAGCCGCTACTTGACCTACCTCCATTTGGATTCGTTTGCTGTTTATCTAGAGTCCTGCCGCAACTCCTGTCACGGCCACGACATGTGTGTGTCTGAGCGTGTGCGTGTGTGTGTGCCTCAACAATTTGCTCTCGCATTGTTTCTGGCTGTTGCTTTTTCAACTTTATTCCATTTTTTCATCCTTGTGTGTGCTTCACTCCCCCAAACTTAGTTTGCTTGACTCCTTGCGGCATGTGCCGCCTCGGCCACATGTCAAGGGCCGCCCCCGGACCGGCTCCTGCGATAATGTCACGCGTTTAGTTATTGATTAAATAGCCAGGACACGCAAACTTGTTATCGTTGTCAGTGTATGTATCGAGCACCGCAGTGATGTCTTAATCACGCAATTCTCAACCTAAGAGTCGACTACAGGACTCTCGAATAAATATGCCAAACATCGAGGGGACCTCTAGGGACTGCATAAGGAAAAGGTTAGGTAATGAGCAATGAATTAAATAGGCAATGGTTTTTCCTAGGCTTTTCAATGGTTTTTTTGAGCACATACTATATATTTTTAAATATGCGAATATATCAAGTTTTTATTAATTCTAGTCATATTTAAAAAGTACAATTTCCAATACTTTTGAGGAAGCTATCCTAAAAAAACAGCTAACATAACTTAAATTTTTAAATACAATTTATATTTCTTGCGGTTTGTTGACAATATATGAAGTTGTATTATATTATTGGCCATTATATGTATTTAATTCATTTTCAATGCGGCTTCAGTAATTAAATTGATATTACATTTTTTAACATGTCAAATCAAATTGCTTACAGATTGTTTGTAATTTGTCCTCCAAAACTAAGATGAGTCTATACTCTTATTTTAATGAGTGAGTAATGCCTTTGTCAGTTATTCTACAGCCTTCTACAGTTGCACCTTTGCGACTGCAGATTGTTGGTTTTTGGCTTGCTTTTTAATAATACTATATACTTGTAGTACGGTTAATTGTTGACCTGCTACAGTGGTACTTAGCGCATAACACACTTTCGGCGACTTTGTCAGTTAGAGCTGCAATCATTTGCAGCATTTTTCTAATTGCAATTTTCCAATTACCCGTTTTCCTTCACTCATTTTTATAATTAAATAATTAATTATGTATGTACGCACTGAAAGACAAAAGCTACGATACGAACAATAAACGGTAGTACAAAAATATGTACACATTGCCTTTCAAATTGAATATAAAGGCACTACCTAATTAAAAAAGAAAATGTTTCATAGATGGCGCAGCTAAACTACTTAATATTCATACAAAATGACAAATATGAGGCGCTTGAGTCAAGAGGCTGCACCAAACGTAATTATTATTGTTAGTCCAAATTATTCTGCAATTATCTCTTCACTCCTTAAGTTTGCTAGTTAATTAGGGTTGCAAAAAAGCTTGTAACCCGCAGAAAAATCATTCTACATTATAAATATAGCATATAAATACATATAATACAGCTATGTTTTGCAACAAAATAAATACCATTCGTATTTTCTTAACTTTATGGCGCTAGTTAAGAAGCTCAGGTTCAGGGATTCTTAAGGCCGCGATGATTCTTTGAATTAAGACGTGCCTAGCCAGCACAGATAATCGTGCTGGAGCTAGTAGAATAGCAGATACACTTAATGTGGCTCTTAAAGCCCATTTCAGTTGTTAATGTTATGTCGACGATTAAATTTTACAATAAATTAGAACCATAAAAGAATGTACATTTGAACATTAAACATATTGTTCGTGCTTGCTTGCGTGCTGGTTGGCCCAAAGACTAGCCCGTCATGTTGGGCGACACGCGTAGCTCGGCCTCCACATTGCCGAAGCGCAGCCTGACAACTCCATTGATGACATTACGAATGGAGATAAGGGTCACGGAGCCAATGCCCATGCCATTTACAAAGACATTACCCACGCGGCTCTCGTTCACCAAATAGAGACGCGGCCCGGCACGGGTTAGAGTGGCATGGAACTTGGCAACAGACTGCAATGGTTGATGGTGGGTAGAGGCTGATGTTGTACTTGATTGAGTCCCCAGCTCACCTTATCGACTATGCAGAAATCCAAATCCTTAGCTGTTATATCACTGCCAATGCGATAGGCTTTGTATTCGCGTAGCTCTAGCGCCGGCCGTCCAGCGAAAGTTATGGAAGCCATGGTTCGGAGTCTTTGTAATTGCGTTTGCACTTAACCTAAAAGCCAAAGGTTTTATTTAATTAGTTAGGCAAATTTATTTTATATCCCAGAAGTCGTCGGGCAATGATACAAGAGTCTCAATGCCTGTTCAGATACAGATACTGAAACAAAAACAGTTTAGTTACAAGTTAGTTACAATATGAACAGTTCTTGCTCTTTCTACAAAAAACAAGAAAAAGTAATACAAGTAAGATATAGTTTTTTGATCGGTTTTTTATGCGATTTAAATGCCGCCAAAATGTTAAATGCTAAGCAAAACAGACCAGCCCAAGTTGTTGAATATCTAAGAAGAGCCTTTAAGAGAGCGCTTTTTATAAAACGATGGCTTCTAAGGCCAATAATTCAGAGCAGGTAAGGGACTAACACAAATATTTTCTAATACTCCTGTGTCCTTTCAATTCAATTTTAATTTTTATATTGTTACAAACATAAATATATATTTTGGACTTATAAAAATAAATCTTATATTATATATATAAAATAACTTATTGTTTTTCCATTGCAATATCCATATAAAGTTTAGTAAAATACTCTTACAAAATGTTCCTCAAACTTATTGTTCATTTTTCAATTCGATCTTAAGATTATTATAATTTTTCAAACAAAATCAAGCTTGTGAATCATTTCGTAGTGGAGGAAACATATGTTAGGACACTGAGTTACTGAATGTGTTGCATCAATCAATCAATAGATACTTAACTCCGAACGAGTTAAATGTAAAAGTCGCTTCAGCACGACTCTGTATATACCCTATATGCTATACCCTCATCCTATACCTCTCGTTCTTACAGTTCTTCAACTTAAAGGTGGTATATGGTGGATATAGGATAAATTTTTTAACGATTTTCAATAAACTTGAGAACATTATGAGGAACTATAAAAAATATTTAATGTGGTTATCTTCATAACACAAACACAGCCATACAAGAAATTGATGGTTTGTAATTGTCGTAGCTATACGCAGATAATATAATGCTTCAGAAAATCGCCTCGTGGGGCTGATCATATATGTTTCTATAAGATGGAGTCCATCACGCCTTTTTCTATCTATTACAAATATTTGGCGCTTAGACTTTCCAGCCACCCTTTCATTCTTCGGGTTAGGGTATACAATTAATTAAACATTAGCCTAAGTTCATGATGACAATTCAGATTTAAAATCGCCTATGTTCTATTCGATAAAAAATATTAAACGGCTGCTCTTGGTACTCGTAAAATCGAATCGGCGAATAGAGAAGCGACAATGTTGTTGATGCTATATCTATATAGATATATCTATATCTCTTCAATTTATCTTATTCGGGTGCTACATGTACAATCTGCAATGTATATATAATGGCGTATATATAATTTGCAGAAATGCTTTTGGCAGCCAGGGTCCTAGTTGGCTGTTTGCCATTTGGAGGTAAATCACTTTCGTATTGCTCGATGGGGACAAACTAAGGCTTTAGAGCCTCGTTGTAGAAGGCAGGGAACGGGCAATCATTGTCGTTGTTGTTGTTGTTTTATAGTCGCAGTCGCATCAGAACCTGTTTACATTTTGCGTGTGCCTCTGCCTCTATATTGTGTTTCATTTTGCGTGTGTGTTTATTTATTTATTTTTATTTTTATTTTTTTTTTTGGTACGTAAATGCAAAAACTTGTTACCAGAAGGATTTGAAACAAGGCTGCACATTAGCCGAAATAAGCGAAACAGAAACTGGGCACGAAAGCGAAACGAAACGAAATGAAGCCAACAACAAGACTGAGTCTGGGCCCGAGCCGAGTGTACGAGTACAAAAATTTTGTTGCAACGCTGCGAATCGTGAACTAAATAGGGATAGGAATTGCGAATAGGGATGGGTAGGGGTAGGGGGATGGAGCTGCGACTTCGACTGCCACTGAGAATGGGGCAACGCAGCGAACATGAAATCCGAGTATTAAATTGCAGCGACCTACATAGAAGGCAATGATCATCATCAACAGCAACAACAGCAACAGCAACAACAGAAACTGGCAATGGAGGCACATAGAAAGCCAGGCCATAGGAGCAAGTTTTGTCTTCAATTTTTGTTTCGCTTTGAGCTCCTTTTTTTGACAACTGCAAAAATGATAAAGTGAGCCGAGCCGGGAGCGGCCGACTGGAATACAAAAATTGAAAAGTGCATTGTGAGCTCAAGGAAACTTAAGACATCTTGCGAGCGATTGAAGCGCGGCAACCTCACACATTCGCATATATACATATATTTCTTTTTACATATATACTTGTGTGTGTGTTTGCGTGTGTATGTGCCGGGCATGTGTGTAGGAATCTGCGCAGTGCAGTGCAACAGGGCCATCGGCCGCCGGCTGCAGTTGCGCATGCGCTTGCAACGTGACCTGCACCCGAGCCCGAGCCCGAATCTGAGTCCGAGGCCGAGGCCGTGGCCGAGCCCCCGTCCCTTCTCAGCCAACTCTGGATTTGGGCGCACAAAAATGTTTCATTTGATTTCGTTGAGTTTTTGTATGTTTCTTCTTTTAGACGGCCTGACGAAACGTGTTTCCATGTAAAAGGTTGACTTCTGGCCCTCTCTCCCGACTCCAAAGTCTACCTGCTTCTCCTCTAGCCGCCGTGCAGCTGTTCACTGCAAGAAATCCCTTGCAGATTATGTTTTATAATTTGGTGCAGCGTCAAAAAGGTGCACAAAAGTGCAAATGATAGACAGCTGACATTTACTGCCAGTCCTCAAACACTGATCTACACTTGTGAAACTTGTTGTATCACTAAATTGTCGCGTTCTTGGGGACCCCCAACTACCTTCAATCTGTTGGCCTATTGTCACACAAATTTCTAATATTTGAAAAATGGAACATTAAAGCCAAGACAAAATGAAAATAACCCATTGATTAGGGATCCCGACGCAACAGTTATCTCCTGTCTTTTATTTGGAAACCAATTTAAAGTTGTTTGCCCTGTCTGAGCGTCATGGGAGCTGATCTAACTAATAGCTTTCAACAGATCAATTAAAATACTCAGCTGTACTTGATGTGATGATTTTATTCTCCGATCACCTCGATCAGCCTTCTCCTCCAACACATTCTGCCCCTGTCGTTGCACATCCGAACTTGCTATTGAATGTGACGCAGTCTCATTATTTCTCGATTTCCTTAGATATTGCAGACAACCTGAATTATATTTTTTACCTGCATATGCTTTTTACGACCAATTCCCAATAAACTTGGAGGAGTAATTGCTCTAATTTTATCAATTGCAATTTTAATGATTTTACCATTTAACAATTTAAGTACATTTATTTTATATTTTAATAAATATATTCAAGTTTGTGATCCTCATACTTATGTGCATTACTACACATTCATTTTTTAATACTTTGCACCGAATCTTAAAATGAAATTACTTGCCGCCTTCAGTCATAAGTCTGTGGACAATTTGTAACTTTTTAGCTAAGTCCAGAAGCCAAGGTCTCTGTTTGTGGACGGAACTAAAGAACTAAAGTGTACGAAGACAAGCAATTTAATAACATTTTAAACTATGCAGATAACAGATAGTAACATAGGCCTGATGTAGGAGTTAAATACGAAGGTTTTGTAAATTTATTTTTTCTTGTTTAACTGTTATTCTTTTCTTTTGTTCATTAATTTGTAACCCTGTGAACATTTGCGAATGGTCGTCCTAAGCCTTTCACTTTGGGCTGAAGAAGCAAGGTTTATTAGAAGCTTTGAGTCGGCAATCCTTCATAACTAGATAAAAAGCTGTAAACATCATACATAGCTCTAAATTTTAAATCATCCAATAGAACAGATGCAACAGGCTGTACTGTACACTCAAAAAAACATTTGTCCATCAATTAAATTAATATAATCATACCTAGCAATAATATGTAAGTCTATTGTTGTTGATGGCAGAATCAAAACCAAAGTTACGAATTGTAATTGTATTGATTTTTTCCAAGCAACTTCTTAGTTTCTTATATTCGTGACTCTTCTTCAAATAATTAGAGAAATGAGATTTATGGGTTGAGAAATCTGTACAAACAAAATATTCCTTTATAGAAGTGATTACTTTCTCTTTTGCATCTCACAAAAAAGAGGCTAGCCATGTGTCGGGATCAGTATATCGGCTGCCAAAATCTAGCTCCCAGTACCTTGAACATCAGAGATCTTCCTCGTAAACAAAAAAAGCGTCATATGTTATTAACTTCTTTTTAAATATTCGAGTATAGCGAGTAATATTTTTCAGATTTTTAAATACTTATAAATAAATAATGTATTAAAACATATGTGCTTAAGAAAATTGTTGTGACTACGATTTCTTAAATTAAAATTAATAATTTATTAAAAATAAGAAATGAAATCAAATAAATATATAAATATATTTTGCTGAAGTGAATCTATAATTAATTCCTTATTGCTTTAAAAGCAACATAAATAAAAGCGCGATTGATTAAGTTTTAAGATGGACAGTAACATTTAATTCAAATACAAATACTTTGTACATTTCAGAGTGAATACAACACATCGGTGAGTGTAATCTGCATTTAGGTTGCTTTAAGCGATGCCTGAGAGACCTCCGTAAACTTTGCATTACCTTATACACAAATATAGAATGCCTTGCTGGGCAGTTATCGCCATAAAGAAGTGCAATTCTCGGCTGACTTGTAAGTATTAAATGGCCATTTATTAAGCCCTTTAACCTCCTCTGGTTACACAAACAGAGCTCAATTGACCCCACACAGCCGCAGTCATCATCGCTAAACGACCAACTTGAAAGCCTAACAAAACAACACCAAAAACCAAAAATAAAACTCACACACATACAAAATGCCAAGGAGCAGTATCAAGGAATATATGGAGGAAGCGAAAGGGGACAGAACGGCTTCAAGTTCAAGTCAAAGTTTTGCACTAGGAAATTAAATTAAATGCGCAAGGATATGACACCAACGAGCGCAAAAGGACGGACAAAAGCCACACTCACACACACA